CCTTCCGGCCGACGCGCTGGCACCGCACTCTGCGCGTCCCTCCGCCGTGGACCAGCATGGAAGCCCCGCGCGCGGGACCCGGGGCCCTGGCTCCCTGGAAAGAGATGTCTGCAGAGGTAGGGGTGCTGCGGGGAGGGCTGGGGCCGCGGAGATCGACTCCGAGGCTGCCCTGGGATTCTAACGAGGCGCTCCTGCAGGTTCTCGTGTGCTAGGACCTGAAGGTCTGGGCACAAGATCTGTTTGACTTTTTTTGGTACCGGAGATAGAACTCAGGACCTTGCATTTGCGTGGTAGGTGGTGGCACCACTGAGCTAAATCCCCGGCCCTGTTTTGTTTTGTTTTTTTTGAGACAGGGTCTCGATATGCAGTTCAGGCTGACCTTGAACTCACTATGTAGCCGAGGCTGGCCCGAATTTGCAGCGATCCAGCTGCCTCAGCCTCCCGAGTGCTGGAATCACGGGGATGCGCCACCGTACCCGGCCTGTTTGATTTTTTTGCAACAGCAGATTTTGTTTTATTTTGTTTTGTCCGATTCTTGAGGAGGGAGAAATTTGAAATCCTAGCTATGGCAGTCTCCTCTGGAGGCCCTGGAGGTTGGGGGCAAAGTTTTGGACCTTACCCCGAGGTTGCACAACTCCTCTAGTTCAGCGTTTAGGAGCCAGCAGCCGAGAGTTGCAGAAAGACTGGTGCTTACTGTGGGGCTGCTGTGAGGTCAGAAAGGACTGGGGAAGGAACACGGTGCAAGGCCTGGCACTTGCTGTGACATCATTGGGTTGTAGGTTCTCAAACAGGTTTCCTGCGTTTTAGGGAGGGTTCTTTTTCTCATCAAAGACACCTCTGAGAGGGCAGGGAATTTAGCTCAGTGGTTCTGGGACCTGCCTTGCAAGCGCAAGGACCCAAGTTGGATCCCCAGTACCAAAAAAACAAAAAAAACCAAAGACACGTCTGAGAATCTGATGAAAGGTATAGATACTGCCCCGGGAAATCCCTCTCTCCCCTCCCTTCCTCCTTCTCTTCCTCTTTCCCCACCTCCCTGCCTACCATATCAGCTGACTCGCAGGCACTCACTGTACTGTCGCCGTCATAAATAGTAGAGTTTCTGCCTGGCATGGTGATGCACGCCTGTAATCCCAGCGCTAGGAGGCTGAGGCAGGAAGATCATGAGTTTTAGGCCAGCCTGCACTACATAGTAAGACTCTGTCTCGATAAATAAATAAAGTCTTCGAACTCAAGTCCAGAAGCTCATTCCACAGAAAAACATGGCAGAGAGGCAAGTGCTGGGGAAAGGGAGCGGCCTTTTCCATAGGTGAAGAATGGGGAAGGGCCAAGCTCTGCTCACAGACTGACTTCTGCACTCCGGACGGTGTTCGAAGCTTTCATGAGATTCTCAAGGCCTCTAGTGGAGACTCTGGGTAGGAGGGAGAGAGCGAGCCACATCTTTTCTGGAGCACTTAGAGGCCGTCCAGGAAATTAGTCGCCAACTCTTCACGTCTCTCATGGTCTGATGTTTCCGGTCATGGTGGCCGGCCAATGTCTTTAGCCTTGAGGGGAAAGGAAAGAGGTCAAGGTAACCCTGGGTTAATGTTTGGACAAAGCATTCTCCATATTACAAACAGAACTGAGTGGAATCTGGACCCAGATGGGGGGCAGACACAATGTGAAGGGAGTTGCTAGGCCTTAGCACCATCCCAGTTAGCCTGTGGGGCCTCCGTGGGCCCTAGGGAGGAGTGGGTGTCCTCACAAGCATTATCCTCATGAGGAACGCAGGAGAGGAGCTACCTACAGCAGTGCAGAGTGAGGCTGGTCCTGTGCCGCTGCCCGCTAAGTCTTTAATTCAGCTAAGCTGGCGTATTACACATACTCTTCGGGCTGGGGATTTAGCTCATGGTGCCACCGCCTGCCTCACAAGTGCAAGGACCTGAGTTCGATCCCTGGTAGCAAAAACAAAAACAAAAAAACAACAAGAGCTGGAGTAGCTGCAGGGCTCATTTTGGCTTTGCCCTCAGTAATAGTGGCAGCAGTTAGAGGCGTGCCAGCTGGGCCTGCAGCGCCCTCCGGGTGACCGTCTGTGTGGGGCCGGTCTGTACGGCTCCACACACCTCTGGTTGAGAACCCTATTTCACAGGAGCAGGAGGCATCCCGCAGGGGGCTCGCCTTGCTCCATCTGTGGGCCGCCCCTTTCAACCTTTCGAGGACCCAGTATCCCCCTTCACCTGTGAGGGAACAAACCAGAGACAAGCAAACTGCCCGGGCCAGGAAATGATGCGGGGTGATGGCTTGAGGTCCAGGCCTTTGTGGGAGGCCATTCTGTCTTCAGGATTCCCATGATGATGGCTGGATCCTTTTCTCCAAAATCTGCGTTAAATCTCAACATCTTGGCCACACATTCAGGAGCCTCTGGCCTCTCTATCCTTCCCCTGTGCGGTCAGGTAGCATTGGCAAAGTGACCTTTGATTCTGGCCTTGTCACCTCTGTCCCTTTGAGTTGTGTCCCCCTGCAGTCATAGCTACCCTCTATCAGAGAAGGTCAGCTCCGCGCCACCTCTGTCTTCTAGGACTGGGACTACAGGTGTGCACCACAGCCCCTGCCTATTTAAATTGCTTGATAGTTTGTTCGTTATAATTTTTTTTAGAATACTTGATTTTCAAAAATTATGGCACCTGCCTCTAATCCTAGCACCTGGGAGGCTGAGGCAGGGGGATCGCTGCAAGTTCCAGACCAGTCTGGGCAACATAAGTAGTTCATGGCCGGCCTCAACTACATGGTGAGACACCGTCTCAAAAACAACCAAACAAACAAAAAGTATTGCATTAAAATATTGACCTTGATTACTGAGTTTTTGGCAGTCTCCCTGCTTTCTCTGCCTCTGCCTAAATGTTAGGACTGAGATCAATGACCATTAACCTGCTGGTAAGGGTGAGTGAACCCAGTTCATGGCTGGCCTCCTGGGTCTCAGCTGCTGTGGGAGGGGACCCACCATCAGGTGAGCCAGCATCTTTCTGGAGCCTCATCTTCCCACAGGCTGTCGCTGGGGCGGCCCTCAACCACAGGTCTGAGAGCGTCTCCATTGTTTGAACAAATCCAGTTGTGAGAACAGAAGTCTCACGGGGCCTCTGTCTGTGTCCGCAGGAGCTGGAGAAGCAGTATTCGCCCAGCAGATGGGTCATCCGAGTGGAGCCTGAGGAAGCCTTGAGGACCTTCTGGGAGAAGGGAACCCAGGGTACTGTGTGACCACGCTGAGTGGCCTTCTGCATGCAGCAGTGGTTCAGGAGAGCAGAGGGAGGGCAGGGGGCCGGGAGGGCGTCTCCCACTCACCGGCACTGGGTAAGCCTCCCCTGCTCAGCGGCTGGACCTCCTGCCCCACCTGTCCTGCAGTGTCCTCCAGGGCCTCCCTACCTACTTCAGCCTCACCTTGAACTTACTGTGTAGCCCAGGCTGGCCTTGAATTCACAGACAATTCCTGGGTCCTGGGATTGTAGGTACGTACCACCACACCTAGCAGTTTTTTATTTTTAAAAAAGTCTTAACTATTGTTATTCTCTTATTATTTTGTTATATAAGCCCCACACTCAAGAGGCCGAGGCAGGAGGATTGGCCTGAGTTCAGTTGAGGCCAGCCCGGGCTACATAGTGAATTCAGAGCTACACTGGACTACATGCCCTATCTCAAACAAACATTATGGCATTAGAATATTACCTGAGTTGGGCATGATGCTGCGTACTTGTAATCCCGGCACAAGGGGAGGCTGAAACAGGAGGATTCCGATTTGAGCCCAGCCTGGGAAACTTGGTGGATTAGAGAGACCCTTCCTCAAAGGCTTTTTTATTATTTTATTTTGAGACAGGGTCTCTCTGATTGCCCGTGTAACCAGCTCTCCTGCTCTGGGTGCTCCATTCTGAGGGGACACAGAGTACAGCAGGTGGGGGAGAAGGACCGGAGATGTGTTCGTTAGAACAAAACGTAAGGTTCTTACTCGATGAGGGGTAAGAGGAGACCAAGGAGGCCCCCTCATGCAGAAGCTCATACACAGCTCTCTAGAGGGCAGAGGGGGCAGCAGAACGCGTGCAACAACGCATGTGGCTGCTGCGGGGCTGCTTCCCCGCGTGCCAGCGGATTTTAAGAGCCCTTGGTCCCTTGCAGCCCTGGCCTCCCCCGACGGTTATTTTACCTGGCTCTTGGTTCACTTTGTTTAGTTTTGCTCAGGCCTTTGCCCTGTTTCTTCCTTTTCCGCCCAACCCCACAGCGGTGGCGACCTCTGACCCGGTGGGGGGGGGTTGCGTTCCGAGAGCTGCTTCTTGGAAGACAGGGGGCGCTGGCGGGCAGCAGGCGGGGCCTCCCAGGGTGGGGAGGCCTACAGGGCTGCTCCTCCGAGAATCTGTATCAGCGCTTGGGGCAGCTTCCCAGCTGTCTGTTCACTAGTTCCGCATTGAAAACCCCTGCCGAGCAATTGCATAGACGTATACAAGCTTATTTTTGTTCTTGTTGTCTGAACAATACTGTTATTTGCATTGTCTGAGGTATTACAAGAGATGACTTAAAGGTTATTGCTAGGAGTTTGAGGCCAGCCTGGACTACATGGCAAGACCCTCGAAAAACAAACAAACAAACAAAGACAAACAAAAAAAGATCTTAAAAATTTAGGAAACAGGGCTGGAGATTTAGCTCAGTGGTTCTGCCGCCTGCCTTGCAAGCACAAGGACCCCAATCCCCAGTACCAAAAGAAAAAAAAAAATTTAGGAAACAATGCTGCTGCCCACAGATAGATTTATTATCCAATATGCAAGTCTCTCATTTATACAATAACAACATGTTTGTTTAACTAAAACCAATAGATGTAAATTAAGTTTTAGATAGCAGTATCAAATTTAGAGATGTCAAATTTTGGTCATTTTATATGTTTAAGAACTAGATATATATTGCATAAAAGACAACATCCACCAGTTACTTTTTTTTTGAGACAGGGTCTCACTATGTAGTTCAGGCTGGTCTCGAAAACACATGGAGAATCCTCCTGCCTCAGCCTCCCAAGTGCTGGGATTACAGGTGTGTACCACCACGCCTGGCTTTTCTATCAGTTACTTTGTATGCATTAAACTTTTGTAGTTTAAACTCTATAGAGAACTTTAAAGCTCACACTTATACCATATTTTTATATATGTATATATAGTATATATTACCACATGCATAAGTTATGCCATAAACCTAGATAATAGTTGTTTAACTCATTATAAACTGATTATTGAAAATATTTTATAAGCCAACATTTGATTTAACTTTTAAAACTTAATTTTAGTGGGCCAGGGATTTAGCCTAGTGGTTTCGCCACCTGCCTTACAAGTGCATGGTCCTGAGCTTGATCCCTGGTACCAAAACAAAATCAAACAAACAAACAAAAAAACCCCGTTTAATTTGATTGACCAAAAGTTTAACAATAGAAAACATAAGAAACTATGTGCGCTATAGAACTCATCTTTAAATCTAATTTTGTACATCTCACCAAGAGCATGTTAATAGCTTAAAAGCCTAATTGTTTTAGACATAGAGAACATAACCTTTTAATTATGCCACCTTAAATATGTCATAGTAATATATTTAATAATATTTGTTGGGGTGTGTCACTGTAAGACTTTGGGGGAAAAAAATGAAGTTCCATCAGTGAACAAAAACTGAATAAATTAGTTCAGGAAGATGCTCTTTTATCCATAGATGGGAATCCTGTCCAGCAGTTTCTCCAGGCCCAAAGAGTCCCCACTTATTTATTTTTAACAATTATTTTGGATGACTTATAAGAACTAAAAATAATAGTTAATGTCTTTTAAGTTACATAAGTTATCTCTTGACTGATGAAGAACTCTTAAGTTGGGCTGGGGATTTAGCTCCGTGCAACAGCGCCTGCCTGGCAAGTGAGGCAGTGGGGCGGCACCACTGAGCTAAATCCCAGGCCCCAAAAAACCCTCTTAAGTTACAGCCAACAATGGTCATTGTATTTATGAAATCAAGTTTTGATATTATTTTGATTGTCTTGACTACCTGGATGGGAATGCGTTAATAACTTTAATGACAGCTTTACTTTACCAGCTGATTTAAATTAGCCCCCTGTAAAGCTATGTGAACCAAAAAGCAAGCATTAGGGCTAATATCATAGCTGTTATTTATTTATAAGCCAACCTAAGTAGAACATGTATGACAAATTGACATTAAAAAAGAAACATACATGTTAATTTAAATCATATGTGACATTTAGTTATCAAATTTTAAGGTTTTTCCTTGTAAGTCCCAAGTAAGCTTTCCATCCTTTAACCCAAATCCTGTAATGTTTTAAGTGAGTTTGGGTATTCCCCAAAACCTGAATAACCCGTTTTTCACAGGAGGCACAAAAGAGCAAGGAAAATAAAATTGATATGAGCTTAAAAAGTGTTATCAAAGCAGTTTTAGGTACCTTAATCGGTTTAAATGAGCAAACAAGAAACACAGACGCACAAAACAATTATTTATCTGTTTGTTTGAGCCATGGTCTCACTATATAGTTCAGACTGTCCTTGAACTCATTGTGTAGCCCAGGCTGACCTCAAACTCGTGGAAATCCTCCTGCTTCAGCCTCCCAAGTGCTGGGATTACATGGCATGCACTATTATGCTCAGCAAAACAGTTACTTCTAAATCAGAGTGCACTCTGACCAGTGTTGGCCAAATTGAGCTATAATAACTGGTTATAATTATAGGCTTCTAAAGAGACTAGCCAGGCTGGGGATTTAGCTCAGTGGCACTGTGCCTGCCTTACAAGCGCAAGGTCCTGAGTACAAAAAAATTAAATAAATGAATAAAGAGATTAGTCAGAACTTTTTTAGGGCTGACAATTAGTGAAGAGATCTCTTATAATAAGCCAACACCAGTAAAAGACAGGAAAAAAGAAAGAAAAGCCTCTTTTTTTTTTTTTTTTAAACTACAATGTGACTGTTTAAAGAAGATTAGAGTGGTGGTTTATCTTAATCTCCAATTGGAGAAAGTGTAGTAAATCACTCCCTGGGGGCTGTTCGGTGTTAAAGGTAAATGGCTCTCGCCAGCTGTGCTGATGGATTAAAGGTAAACTGCTCAATGAATTGCTGAGGCCTGGCTGGGGGATGCAAGCAGCCCACTGCTTCGGTCCCAGCGATTTTTGTAAGAGAGATTACGAGATAAGAATGCCACCTTGTATCTCGTGTTACCCTGTCTCTGTCTCTCTCTGCCTGTGACGGGCCAGAGAGTGAATCCCTGTTCCCGGCAGGTGGACTTTAGCCTTTAGCCCTGCTCAGTGTCCTGCCTCCTCCCGGGAGGTGCCCCCAGTGCCTGATCCTCAGAGTGGATAAATAAATGTTGAGGCCCCCAAGAGCTACAAAAAGCCCTCATGAGGATATTCCTTAGCCCAGCCTCCAGGAGAGGGGTGGTGGAGCTGAGCAGCTGTTGAGTAGCCAGGAGTCTGAGGCCTTGGTGAGCAAGTTCCCGCGCTAACTTGTGCCCCATCCAAGCCCTGCTGGCTGGCAGTGAGTTGGAATGATGAAAGCATTCTGGGGACTCTCCCAGAACCTCGACCTTTGTCCTGGAGAGCCTTTCTCGGGGAATCTAGGGGATGTTTTGTTAGATTTTGGCTCTATGAAAGTGAGGGCAGGGGCCCAAACACCAGGAACATCAGATACTGGGATAACCTGAAATGTGGGCGAGGATCCTAACCTGTTCCTGGCCCGGTACATTTATCACGATGTACCTGAGCGGGGAGGGGGTCTGTCCCAGTAGTGGAGGAAGAGAAGTCCAAACATGTAGCTTGGCTCTTTTTTCTTGTTTGTTTTTTCTCAAGACAGGGTCTTGCTTTGTAATTCAGGCTGGCCTAGAACTCGCTGTGCTGTATAGCCCAGGCTGGCCTCAAACTTGTGACAATCCTCCTGCCTCAGCCTCCCAAGTGCTGAGATTATAGGTGTACATCACTACACCTGGCTGATAGCTTGATTCTTAAAGAAGGCTTAAGAGAGGACTCTGACGGTGTCATCTCTGGTCACCCTGGGAAAGGGAGGATACCTAGGGATCCCTGAGAGAGTTTTACCCTCTCAACTCACAGAGGAGTGCAGGTGGGGACAATAGATAAGTGGAGGTTTCTCTGCGGGTTACCCAGTCGGGCGGTCAGGACCCAGCTTCCACCGAGGAGCCTTTGGGTACCCACCAGAGGGACCCTGGCTATGGCCCTCAGTTGCCCTCTCAGCTTTCCCCAGTGGCACACAACCAGAGATCTGTCTGTGGAAAGAAATCCAGCTGCCTGTCTGGCTGACATTCCCACTGGGGTATTTCAGTGGGGGTTAACCAGGAGATGCTGGGGAAACTGCCATGTTTTCAGAAGTGGCAGCTGCTCTGAGAGCCTCCTAACCGATCAGCAGACTGCCCACTGTTTGTAACATGCCTACAAAGGGACAAGAACTGGGCGTGGTGGCACACGCTTGTGATCCCCAGCACTTGGAAGGCTGAGGCAGGAGGATTGCCAGGAATTTGAGGCTAGCCTGGGGTACACAGCAAGTTCCAGGCCAGCCTGAATTACATAGTGAGACGTCTCAGCGAGAGGGAGGGAGGGAGAGGAAGGGGAAGTCGGGGGAGAGGGAGAGAAAGTGTGAGTGGTGAGCATGTGAGTCAGCCTTTCTGCCAAACTTCTCCTTAGAGAAGAGAGGGCCCCACATTGGGCACCAAAGATGTAACCGGCTCTTTCCTGCTCTGGGTTCTTGTTCTGAGGCAACACGGAGTACAGCATGTGGTGGGGAAGTACTGGATATGTGTTTATTTAAAAAGGTAAAGTCTTTACTTGGTGAGGGGCAAGAGGAGGCCAAGGAGTTCCCCTCCTGCAGAAGCTCATACACAGCTCTCTGGAGGGCAGAGGGGGCAGCAGAATGTCTGCAAAAATGCATGTGGCTGCTTCCCCACGTGCCAGCAGATTTTAAGAGCTCTTTGTCTCTTGTAGCTCTGGCTTTCCTCGAGGCTTATCTCACTTGGTTCTGGGCTCACTTAGTTTATTTAGTTTTGCTCAGGCCTTCGCATTTGTCCCTTCATTTTCTTGTCTCACCCAAGCTGGCCTCAAACCTGCCATCCTCCTGCCTCAGCCTCCTGTGTAAGTGGTGCTACCAGGCTTAAATTTGTTTTACTGTGACCTTCAGTAAGATTACTACATTTTATTTTATTTATCTACCTTTTTTTGAGGGGAGTGAAGTTGGGGATTGAACCTGGGGTCTTTCACTTGCTAGGCAAGTGCTGTACTCCTGAGCTATGCCCTCGCCATAATAAAAATACATGTTACAAAAAACAAAATGCAGTTTACATTTATTTTGTCCAAACGCAAAGAGATAGCGTATGCTTTGTCTGACGTTTCACGTAAAGAATGCCGGTTTCCAGGGATTGAGGAAGGAGCACGGTGGAGGGAGAGGGAGTTAATGTTTAGCGAGGACCGAGCTCTGTTTGGGAAGGTTCTGGAAGTGGCTGGTAGAGATGGTTGTGCAACCGTGTAAATGTGCTGTTAAAACATTTTTTACATCATATTTCATTCTACTTGTGATTGTTATTATTTTGGTTTTGGAGACAAGGTCTTGCTCCGTATTCCAGGCTGGCCCGGAAATCACTATGTACCTCAGGCTGGCTTTGAACTTGCAGAGATTCTCCTGCCTCAGCCTCTGGAATGCTGGGATTACGGGTGTGTGCCACCACACCCAGCGTATATCACGTTTTACTACACATCTATGTGTTAAAAATGTGCGCAACATACTCGACGTCGGCTCCACCGTTTTCTGTGCTGTTCCATCTGTCTGTTTAGTAAATTGCTTTTCATGGCTCCAGTTTGCAAAGCTGCACAAGTCTAGGCCAGGGTGATGCTGCGCTTCAGGCGTGCTCCGTGTCGCCGCCAACTGTTCAGCAGTGAAGAAGGGCCACTCTTGTCCCGGAAGCACTGGATAAATCCTCACGGCAGCTCTGGGGGCCTGCCTCATCGGGTTCTGGCGTGAACCCTAAATCCTGGTGTGGAGGGGTTTCCTGATTCTGGCGGCGCCTATCACGACTCCCATAGCGCGACCAATCACAAGAGTGGGTGGGTGGGCGGGCGGAGCATCATGATTGACAGCCTCTGGGACGTCAGGGGCTCTGTTTTGCTTGGGTGATTTGAATTTTTCCTCTGCACTAGAAAAATGAGAGGAAGAAAATGAAGGCACACAAAATAGAAGCCTTGGCCTTCGCTCCCTGTGATAACCTACACGTAACTAGCCAGGGATTTAGCGCAGTGGTTCTGCCGCCTGCCTCACAAGTGCAAGGTCCCAAGTTCAATCCCCGGTGCTAAAAAAAACAAAAACCACCAAAGTACCAGATCATAAAATGCACATAACTCAGAATTTGCTGTTAGCCATTTTTTAGTGAACCATCCAGCAGCATTTGGGGGCGGGGGTGGTACCAGTTATTGAACTCAGTACCTTGTGCTTGTGAGGCAGGTGGGGCACCACTGAGCTAAATCCCCAGCCCTCTGGCAGCATTTTGTGCATTCATGTTACTTGACCATCACAGTTACAGAGTTCCAAAACAGTTTCATCATCCTAACAGAAAACCCCCACGGGTTAAACAGCCACTCCCTATGCACCCCCCACCCCCTGATCACTACTAGCTGCTTTCTGCCTCCACAAATTTACCTGTTCCAGATGTTTCATGTGAATAGAATCATACACTGCCAGGCATGGTGGCGCACACCTGTAATCCCAGCACTCAGAAGGCTGAGGCAAGAGAATTTCCACAAGTTCAAAGCCAGCCTGGGTTACATAGTGAGACCCTGTCTCACACCGTCCCTCCCACCCCCAAAATCATATACGAGTTTGATCCCTGGTATCAAAAAAATATAAAGAAAGAAAGTCTCCCCAGAAGGGGAGTCACCCTTCTCCCCGGCTGAGTCGCCTGGCCGTTGACGTCTGCTTGTGCCTACGAGGTCTCCTGGCTGGCTCACCAAAAGTAACCCTGTGCTGGATAGGAGGTAGATTCCAAGTGCTGGTGTACAACAAGCAAAGAATTACAAAGCATACACTCAATGGTTAGGGAAAGCCCAGAGAGATGGTGTTGGCGAGTCTTATATACCTTTGATGCGAGTACATAATTTAAAGCATAAAAAATCCAAACATAAAAACACTATAAACTATTTTCGCTTTCACAGTTACCTTAAAATGGTAGTACAGTACAATACAGTATTTTCACTTTTTTTTTTTTTAGACAGGGTCTCTAAATAGTTCAAGCTGACCTTGAATTCACTATGTAGCCCAGGCTGGCCTCAAACGCAGTGATCTTCCTGCCTCAGCCTCCCAAGTGCTGGGGTTTCAGATGTGCACCCCCATGCCCAGTGCTCATTATCTATTTCAAGTGAGTTTGTGTCTTGTTTCCCTAAAAGACTATTTGCTTCCTCGAGTACATGGCAAATGGAACACATATAATCAGAACACAATAAAGTGCGATGAAAGGGGTGCCCGTCAGAAACACAGGTCCATATCGAGATCCGGGCGGACAGGAGGATGGGGGGGCTCCCAGCTGAAGCTGACCTAGGAACCCAGGCACAGTGGCAGCACAAAGGTGTCTTCTCGAGTTGACACAGAAGTCGCTGCCTCCTGACCTTGCGCTGACAGTGACTTGTCTCTTTGCTGAGGTAGCCACCAACAACGCCCAGGCCACCAGGCGGTGCCAGCTGCACGTCCCCTATGGGGATGGTCACGGGGACAGAATGGACATCTACTTCCCTGGTGTGGAGTCAGAAGGTGAGCCGGGAGGGCTGGCAGCCCATAGCAGTCAGCCGGGCACGCGCTCACCCAGTGTTGTTTTGTCTTCCAGCCCTGCCTTTCTTCCTGTTTTTCCATGGAGGGTACTGGCAGAGTGGAAGGTAAGCTGGGCACTGTGGATGAAGTGGCACACAAGGGAGATCCCTCTCTTCCCGGTGTGAATGGGCCCCCGGGCTGCTGGAACAAACTCTGGTTTCCAGCAGCAGCATAGGGTTCTCCCACTTCTGGAAGCCGGAAGTCACCGGGGCTGTGCTGCCTCCAAGGCTCTCTGGCCGATCTCCCTGCCTCTTCCACGGATCCAGATTTTCTTTTTCTTGGTACCAGGGATCAAACTCAGGAGCTTGTGCTTGCAAGGCAGGTGTGGCACCCCTGAGCTAAATCCCCGGCCTGGACCCAGATGTTCTTGCTGTGGCTTTGTCCCTAGTCTCTGCCTCAAATCTCCTCTCCTTTTCCTTTTCCAGCCAGTCACTGGATTTAGGGCCCACCCTAAGCCAGGACAGTCTGATCGAGACTCCCAGTTTTGGTTGCAAACACCGTTTCCAGATAAGGACACACTCACAAGCTTTTATCTTCGTGGGAAACACAGTTCAACCCACTGTGCCCATGGAGAAGAGTGCTGGGCTGCCCCTTTCATCAAGGGAAAACCAAAGTGACCTCCTGGCAGTTTGATTGGGACCAGGAGGTTTCCCAGAACATGGGGCTTTTGGTGTTTAAAACTGTAGAGAGGGAAGGTCCTGGGCAACCAGGACATTGGTCATTTAAAGTTTAAGAAGAGGGCATTCACAGGCAAAGCTCTCTGCTTCACGTCTTCAGTTCTCAGAAACAGCTTGCGAGAGGGAACAAAACTGTCCCTGTATTACACGTGAGGAACGGAGCCTTAGAGGTTGCATGTGAGACAGTGAGGACAGAGCATGGGACGCGTGTCCAGGACGCGGGGGAAGCAGTGTCACAGCCCGGTGTCACCTCTTTGTCTTTCTGCAGTAAAGACCAGTCGGCCTTCATGGTCGACCCGCTGACAGCACAGGGAGTGGCCGTGGCGGTAGTGGATTACGACGTCGCCCCCAAAGGTGACAAGATGGTCCCTGCAGGTTCCAGGGCCTTGTGGGGGGAGCGGCCTTCATGGTCCTCACCTGGCCTGTGTTCCGACTAGGGAGCCTGGACCGGATGGTAGACCAGGCGACCCGCAGCGTCGCGTTCGTCCAGAAGCGGTATCCACACAATGAGTGAGCGGCACCGCGGGCCTTGGTGGGTGGCCTGTGTGGGAGACCGTGGGGAAAGTGAGTGCGAAGCCGGCTCCGTGTCTGCCCGCACAGGGGGATCTACCTGTGTGGACACTCTGCTGGAGCCCACCTGGCCAGCATGGTGCTCCTGGCCAGCTGGACCGAGCATGGAGTGGCACCCAACCTCAGAGGTAACACGGGACAGCGCTGGCTGGGCGGCCTCTGCCCTTCCCAGGACGGCAGCTTGGGGCCAGCTGCTCCAAACCCTGAGTGGCTGCACCTAGAGGCTGGCTCTGTGCCGTGGGGCCTGGACTTCTTCCTTCTCGGCTCCCAACCCTGTCCTGCTCCTCTGGCCTGGAGGGAGGGCTCATCCCTTCGCTCCAGCCGGCGCCTGAGCTCCCGGCCCCCACAGGCTTCTTCCTGGTGAGCGGGATCTATGACCTGGAGCCCATTGTACCCACCTCCAACAACGCTCTTCTTCTCCTGACCCTGTGAGTTGCCTGCCCTCTTCCACCCCTGCCTTGGGCCTGGCACCCTCTATCCTGACCTGTGCCCCGCCCGGCCCCAGGGAGGATGCGGTGAGGAACAGCCCATGGAGGCGCCTGGACGCGGCCCCGGCACAGCCTTCGGGTCCAGCCTGCCCTGTCCTGGTGATGGTGGGTGAACACGAGTCCCCCGAATTCCACCGCCAGTCCTGGGAGTTCTGTCAGGTACTTCCGGCACCCCACCCAGGGGGTGGTCACATGGTGTCCTCATTGTCATTCAGCACAAACGGGTCCGCGGTCCTTGGGCCGCTTGTCCCACAAAGGCAGGACGAGTGGCTGCCATGCGTGTGCCACCCTCTGGAGGGCCTGCCTCCCTCCCTGTGCCTCAGGCCTCCCCTACCTGCTCTGTCCCACCCAGAGCCTATGCCGAGGAGGATGGAAAGTCACGTTTAAAAAACTGCCTGACGTGGATCACTTCAGTATCATTGAGAATCTGGCCAAAAAGGACTACGTGGTCACCCAGGTAGGGCTCCTACCCTGTCCTCGCCCCTCACACAAAGGCGGTAGGGAGGAGGGACACACGGAGGACCCTCCTCAGCTGTACCCCACCTCTTTACCTGAGCCTGCCTGGGGCCCTGGGTGGATCCACTCTAGGCCTTGGCAGGGTGGAAAGAGAGGGTCTAGGCTTTCACAGGCAAACGTCAGATCCAGGCTGGGCGTGGTGGTGCATCCCTTGGCTATTTTTTCTATTTTTTTCTTTCTTTTGAGACAGGTTCTCAAAAAAGGCTGGCTTTGAACTCACTATGTAGCCCAGGCTGGTCTGGAACTTGTAGTGATCCTCCTGCCTCAGCCTCCCGGGTCTGGAGATCACAGGCATACACCAGCCATGGCCGGCTTAATCCCAGCACTTGGGAGCTGATGAGAAAAGCTGTCTCAGCACCCTGAAGGTGGGGGGCAAAAAAAAAAAAAACTCCATAAAGGAAGGGACAGATGAATTTGGTTACATAAATGTTCTTAATTCAGAAGAAACACGGTCCGTAAACACCAGCCTGTTTCTCTTCTCCAGTTCTGGGCCCCTATGTCTCCCTTTCCTGCTGCAGATCATCATGAAAACCATCTCCCAGAAGTGCTGATGCTGGGCTCTGGCCCTTGAGCACCACCCTGGCAGTTCTCGGAGCCAAGGTGACTGCCTGCCCCGCATGAGCCATTCCTCTTCCTGATGAGAGCACCTAAAAATCTACCCGGCCTGCACCGAGCTCCAGGGAAGTCCGCAGGGCTGTGCTGTGAGCCGTCCGGAGCCTCGCCTGCCTGGCCCCTCTGCCTGCTGACAGGTGTGATAGAACAGAATGATGACTTCCAGCTTGCTGTTTTCCTATGACTGCAGAGGGTCATGGGCATCACAGTGCAATCACGAGCTGGAGCGGTCGCTCAGTGGCAGAGAACTTGCCAAAGGCACATGTCTCAGCCCAGGCCTGCACCCCCAGCACCAGAGAGAGAAACTGGAGTTGGCAGGCGGAGCCCCCCCAGGCACACCCAGAACGATCACAGGAATCCCTCCTTTCTGTCCCAACCAGACCGTCTAACTCCTGCCCTGAGGTCTGTGGCCGGTGGTTTTTGTTTCAGAACAGCTGATGCAGATGTTATAGCTCAGATCTAAAATGCCCCCTCAAGCTTCATAATTTGGATTCATCCAGTGATGATTTCAGTGGCTAAATGTGCTGTTAGGAGTTAGAACCTGATTGGAGTTGGTTGACCGGGGGCGTGACCTAGCAAGGTGTGTTCTTTTCGTTCAGTTGGAGATAGGGTCTTGTTATGGAGTTTAGGCTGGTCTTGCTTTACTACATAGCCCAAGGCAGTCCGGCCTCAGCCTCCTAAGGGCTGGGATTACAGGTGTGTGTCACCCAGCTCAGTTGGGAAGCGTATATTCTCCTACTGACACCTCTCTCTCTCCCTCTCTCTCTCTCTCGGTTTCATGGATGTCATGGGGTGAGTAGGGTTCCTTGCCCAGGCCCTTGCACCGTGACATTTCTAACTTGGAGCCAGATGACCATGGACTGAACCTACTGGAATCCCAAATAAACCTCTCCTTTAAGTTGTGGCTGTTTATCCCAGGGATGGGAAATCTAATCTACTGGGCTTTTCCTTTCTTTAAAAAGCTTCCTCCAGGTTCGGTGGCCTGCCTTGCAAGTGCAAGGACCTGAGTTCAATCTCCGGTACCAAAAAAAAAGCTTCCTCCTACCCCAGTGTCTTCAGAAGCACCAAAGATCTGCCACAGCACAGAGAGATCCCAGACTGCAGTCCCTGCTATTCCTGGATTATCTGTTTGCTAACAGTGGTAGCTGCCCTGTAGTTCATTTTAGGTTGATAGAGCCCTAGCTGAGAATGGTTGTACACTTTTTTAGATGAATGAAAATATTAAAAAGGGAATATAGCTTCATGAGATAAAAATTATAAAACATAGGCAGGGTATATTGGTGTGCAAATGCAGTCCCAACTACTTGGGAGGCTGAGGCAGAAGGATCTCTGAGGGTGTACCTTAGTGGTAGAGCTTGTGCTTGCTTAGCACGTACAGGCCCTTGGTTCCATCACTGGCAGTACAACAAAACAAACTCAAATGTGAACAGCCCTGTTCCTTCATGTCCACGGTACATGGCAGAGAGAGGAGGGGTAGCATGGCCCTCGGTGCTTAAGCATTTCCTCTCTGGCCCCACGGTTCACCAACCCTCTTGTAAAGTCTTCTCTAACCAGTGCTCGCTCTACCTTTGTTTCTGTCCACCCTGCCCTCTATTCCGCCTGACATTTGAGTCTGCCCCTGAAAGTCCTGGGGTCTTGGCCTGGGAGCCACACCATGACCTTGAGAAGACCTTGGTGCTCACCTGAAGGTCCATGCAGCTTCTCTGCCGCCTGCGGCCATGTGCAAGGAGACTGTGTGGTCATCCACACCCTGCCTGGCTGCACTTCCCCTCCCTGCAGCGTCCACTGTGGCCTTCTTGGTGGCAGAGAACAGAGCAGAACCCAAATGTTCATCAGCAGGGGATAAACTCAGTCCCTGACTCACAATGGCATCACGATGGTTGTTTCACTTTATAGTGGTACAAAAATACACGCGGAAATCCACTGCTTTTCCCAGGGGTCAGTTGGCAGGCACTCTGTTCTCGTGGCTTTTATGACCTGGGCGCAGTGGCACACGCATGCCTATAGCCTCAGCTATTTGAAGGGAGCCTAAGGTAGGAGGACCCTCCAGTCACAAGACCATAGTCTGCCTGTGCAACACAGCAAGACCCTGCCTCAAAAATTTTTAAAAAATTAAATGGGGAGGCCGGGCGTGGTAGCACACGCCTGTAATCCCAGCACTCGGGAGGCTGAGGCAGGAGAATTGCTGTGAGTTCGAGTCCAGCCTGAGCTACATAGTGAGTGAGTTCCAGGTCAGTCTCACTACATAGTGAGACCCTGTCTCAAAAAACCAAAAAAAAAGGGGGATTTAGCTCAGTGGTGCCACCATCTGCTTCACAAGCACAAGGTCCTGAGTTCAATCCCTTGTACCAAAAAAAAAAACCAAAAAAAACAAAAAAAAAAAACAAGTACAAAATCAAATGGGGGGGTTGGGCCGGGGATGTAGCTCAGTGGCACCACACCTGCCTCACAAGCACAAGGTCCTGAGTTCAGTCTCTGGTACCACACACACACACATATATACACAAAATCAAATGGGGGGGATTTAGCTTAGTCATGCCACCACCTGTCTCATAAGTGCAAGGTCACAAGTTCAATCCTCAGTACCAAATACATTAATAAATAAATAAAAATCAAATAGGTTTTGTATTAGATGATTTTGCTCAAATGTAGGCCGATGTCAGCGTTCTGAGCACATTGAGGAAGGCTGCATTCAGCTAGGATGTTCAGGAGGTCAGGTCCATTTTTATTATTTATTTGTGTGGTACTGGTGATTAAACCCAGGGCTCTGCACATGTGAGGTAGGCATTTCACCACTAAGCTACACCCCGGCTGTTTGAGTTTCATTAAATGGCCCACGGCTGGCCTAGAATTTGTGATCCTCCTGCTCAGCCACACAAGTAGCTGGGGTACAGCTGGCTAAGTCAGATCTAGTGAATGCATTTTCAGTTTAAGGTGTTTTCAGCTTACAGTGGGAATACTGAAAGAAGCTCATCCTGAGGCAAGGGGCGTCTGTATATCCAAGCAACAAAAGGCATTCAGTCATTTGAGATCTGTGTTTACCACATGGAACATCTTGAAGACTACTACACGACCAAAAGCAAGATGTAATGTGGGTTAACTCACTTGTTTTGCCACATAATACATGCTCACAAAATCAATGGGTTTCTGAGTCAGGCAAGGTGGTACACACCTGTAATTCCAGCATTCAGGAGGCTGAGGCAGGAGGATCACACAGTTCAAGGCCAGCCTGGGCTATAGAGTGAATTCAAGGCCATACTGAACTACATAGAGATATCCTGTCTCACAAACCAAAACATAAAAGCAAAACAAAACAAAATTGATGGGTTTCCATATTTTCACACAGGGGTAAATTACAGGAAGCTCTTCAGACTTCCGAATACCAGTAGGGAGAATGATGGAAAGAGACAGACACAACATATGGTTTTCAGTGGGGAATGGGAGGAAACTGTCTAGTGGACAAGCTTCCCAAACTCCATAGTAAGAGCGGTGGGCTCACTCTTGAATATTCACCAAGAAGTGCAGAAGAGGGTGCAGTACACTATCCCAGCAACAGCGTGTAGTAAGATTAGAATAACAAGTTAGGGACCAAGTTAGCATCTCAAAGGGAAAAGTTAAGGTCCTTCCCCACCCTGGAGGTCTGCCTAATTTATTGCCCTCAGTAGAAGCTGTCTTGTCCCAGGAGTGCTACGTTTAGAGCTTTCCACACAGCCAGGAAGTCACATTTCTCTGTTCAAAGGCAAGTGAGCACCAACCTAGGGCCTGTAGGCCCGGTAATCAGGCTCCTCACCAGTCTGTGCCCATCATGGCTTTTCCCCAACAGTGAATGTTCAGAAAACGGTCTTGAAAGATTCATACCTATGTTGCACGAGCCGTTCAGGTCAAGGAAGTGGAGTTGGAAAACTAAAATATTCAAGGTGGGCACAGGTCTGTGATCCTAGCTACTCTGGGAGTTGAGGCAGGAGGATCACCACTAGTTTGAGGCCAACCTGGGTTACATAGTGAGTGCAAGGCCAGACTGAACTGCATAGTGAAACCCTGTGTCAAGAGCTTGGTTACAGAGTGAGACCTCTCAAAAAACTCCAAAAAAGAAGGGGGAAAAAAAGGCAAAAAAATATTTTTAATTCAAAAAGCTCAGAATATACAGAAATGAGAATATTATGGGTATAACTTGAATCCATTTTAGAGGAGCTCCCCTCCCCCATACTGGAGATTGAACTCAGGACTTTGCACTTGCAAGGCAGGTGTGGTACCACTGAGCTAAATCCCTGGCCCCTTTATTTTAGTTTTTTGAAACAGGGGTCCTGCTATGTAGCCCAGGCTGGGCTTGAATTCACAAGATTCTCCTGCCTCAACCTCCTGAGTGCTAGGATTAGAGGCATGCACCACCATGCCTGGCGACTCTAGATGTTTTAAAGAAAATGTCTCATGAACTGTAGTACTTGCTTTAACATTTTTATTTTATTTTTTGGTACTGGGGATCGAACTTGGGACCTTGTGCTTGAGAGGTAGGTGGTGGAACCACTGAGCTGAATCCCCGGCCCTGTTCACTATAATGATAGAGCAAGTGGGATGGGCAAACCATACATCTCAGTGTTGGAATCTGCCTACTATATGTCAGTGCCTCGGGGGAAAAGCAGAAGGACTAGATTTATTGCTGTCTCCATGCTAAGTTTCTTGATTTTTCCTTTTGTTGCTACTAAGGATCACATCCACAGAGTGCTGAGCTTCATCCCAGGCCCTTTTAATATTATTCATTTATTTTTGGGATAAGGTCTTCACCATGTATCTCAGGCTGGCCTCAAACTTGCAATTCTCCTGACTCAGCCACTGGTGTGCTGGGATTACAGGTGCGTGCCCTTTAAATTTCTTGATTTTCATGATTGTGCTGTGTTTATGAAAGAGAATGAAGTGTTTCAGAGTGAGGTGTCATAATTTTCAATTTAAAAATGGTTCCAGTTAAAAGCCCATATAAATGAACACATACATATTTGGTGTATACACATAGGTGAATATATGAACGTGTGTATATATGTGTTTGTGTGTATTTAAAGAGACAGGATCTCACTATGTAGTTGAAACTGACCTGGACCTCACTAGGTAGCCCAGGTTGGTCTCAAACTCACAATGATCCTCCTGCCTCAGCCTCCGAGTGCTGGGATTACAGGCGTGCACCACCACACCTGGCTTTGGGACTTTTCTTTAGAGTGATATTAAAATTAGCTGAAGGGAAAAAATACTGCCAGATGTGGTGGTACCCACCTATAATCCCAATACTCTGGAGGCTGAGGCAGGAGGATCACCCTGAGTTTGAGGCCAGCTTGGGTTACATAGTCAGACCTCTCAAAAAACCAAAAAAACAACAAAAAGAAAATTGGCTGAGAATGTGTTGCTCAAGGCAGGATGCATGCTTAGCATGTGAGAAGCCCCTCAGCATGTGCTGTTATCTTTACTCTTTTTCTATTTACTCAGCCCAAGCTTGCTCTGAAGAGCCCGTTTCTCTCCCACTCTTCACCTTTGCTTTCTTGAATAAACTTTGCCACTGCTTTAAAAAAAAATCAGCACTGTAAACCTGTTGTCTAAAGCTGAATGAAGAGCATGGGGGCAACTGGCCAGACCCTGGAAAACAAATCTGAACCCTTAAGGCCTGCCCACTGACGTACTTCTCAGAGGGGTCAAGATGTCTACAGGGCCAGGGATGTAGCTCAGTGGTACCACGCTTACCTCACAAATGCAAGGTCCTCAGTTTGATCCCTAGGACTGAGGGGGAGGGGGAAAAAAAAAAGACTTCCACACAAAAACCACACCTGATCTTAGCCAAAAGGCCAAGAAGTGATTCCATGCAAAAACCAAAACCAGGGGGCACCAGAAGTCTTCAAGGAATATCTTACAAATCATCTTGAAGTGCCCAAACTTTCCAAGCGTGGTGAGACCAAACAAAAAGACAAACTAACCATAAACAGAAAAGCGATTAAAAAAAGAAGTGATGAAATAAAAAGAAAAAGCGATGAAGACAAGTAACAATTTGGGGGGGTCTGTGCAAAAAAACAGTGAAGATCAGACTTCTGCATGAAGACTCAAGTGTTGCGGAAGGAATTGGTAAGCGACACACACAGAGACACAGAATGGAAGTAAAATAACAAAAGGTTTACTTTGCTGGCAAAAGGCCGATTGCACTAAAAGCAGTGCTAGTGATTGACCCTGAACTGGGTTACAGCTCCTTCTTTTATAGGGCTTTGCAGCCATGATTTCATCCAGGTGGTTACATTTCATTCTCTTAGTTCACATTGGATGGTCACAAGACAGTTAACTTTAACCCAGATGTAGCAATTCTTTGTAGTTAGGGGGTTTATCTTTAAGATTCCTCTAGCTATCTATTCTAGCCCACAGGAAGGGAGGGGGAGTTTCAGGGCCAGGAAAACAGAGTTAGCAATTATTCTTTTCATCTTGACACTTTTGCAGCCATTTAGTTTGCAGTTTTATAGCTCAGGGACTGTTATCTCAGCTTGAACATTTGGTCTCATCCTGGGATGTGGCTTAGTGCTTCAGGCATTTGGTAATTTTAATTGGAGTTACGTGCCTTCAAGCTTCAGTGGTGCAACCTCGGGTGTTTTTGTTAAACAAGCAAAGCAAAGCAAATCACAGAAGCAAAAGGCAGTGGTTCTTTTATATGTATTTTCTAACATTTAGGTTTTCAGATTATTTACAAAACTTTTCTCTATCATAAGCAACAGGAAAAATATTAGGAATCCAATAGAACAGAGAACCAAGGACAGGCAGCCCTGGAGAGTCACAGGAATCAAGTGACAGGTTAACTTGAGGTAATCAGCCTCCCTTTAAAAAAAAAAAAAAAAAGGCTAAAAATTAAAATAAGCATAGGATGTTCTTTACTCTCAGACCAAAATGTCTGCTGTTTCGCAGGCTTGTGGAGAAATAAGCACTCTTGCACAGCAAAGCGGTCTTGGGTTCTTCCTGCTGACCTGGGAACCCTCTGACCCTGAGGAGCCAGCAGTCAGGGAACCACAGACCTCCCCTCTGCCCCAGCCCCACATGGAGCTCCATTCACTTCTTGCATGTTTCCTTCTAATGCTTTCACGGAACTGCTCAGTTTTCTTTTTGGTGAATTAAGCTGAGAAAGAAATCCAGGCTGTCAGCTTTGTATCCATTCATAAGGATTGCTGCTGATAGGAGTGAACAAAACAAAATGTGATGGCAGCTAAAAATACACATGGTAAACATTTGCTGAAACTGCCATAAACCTCAAGGTTTTTTTTGGCTACTAAATTTTTTTAAAGTTCCTTCCAGCTTTTTTATTAATCCCTCCCCACCCAAATCTCCTCCCCTCCATATGTTCAAAAAACTTTGTTTCCATTTTCTCCTTATTTTCACTTTTTTCTCATCCCTTCCTTTCTCCCTCCCTTCTCCTTTGTTCCCTTTCTAATTTGAATACTTTCTTTCCATTTCCCAGCATCCATCATACATCTTAGTCCTTATTTCCACATTGTTTCTCATATCAAAGAAACAACGTGCTATTTAAACGTGTGTCTGGTTTGTATCACTTAACAGTATGATTTCAAGGTGCACCCATTTAGCAAGAAATGTCTGAAGCTCATCCTTTATAGCAGAGTAGTGCTCCATTGTTTTTTTTTTAAAAAACCCCATATCTTCTTTATTCACTCATCAGTTGATGGGCATTTGGGCTGTTTCCAAGATTTAGCTATTACAAACTGTGTTGCTATAAACATAGGTGAGCATATATTACTGTGGTATGATGCTTTTAATTCTTTCAGAAAGATACCAAGAAGACATATAGCTGGTTCAAATGGAAACTCTAGTTTTAGTTCTTTGAGAAACCACACATTTCCACAGTGGTTGCAACAGTCTGCATTCCCACTAACAGTGGAAAAGGGTTCCTTTTTCCTCGCAGCCCCTCCAGCATTTATTATTGGTTGATTTATCAGGAAAAAAAAATTTTTTTGTACCAGGGATTGAACTCAGGTCCTTGCACTTGCAAGGCAGGCAGGAGAACCACTGAGCTAAATCCCCAGCCCTACATTTTGTTTTTTTAATCTTAGAGAAATGACCGAAGTAGCTGAAGTTTGCAGTAAAATGAAAATTCAAGTAGAAAAATGTTAAATGTTTGTGCTAAATAGAAAGTGAGTCACGGAAATACATTGGTTTGGTGGCATTAACTCCAGAAGAGAACATTTTCCTTTCTTTTTTTTTCTTTGAGAAGAGGTCTCATTATGCTGCTCCAACTAACCTAGAACTTCTAGGCTCCAGTGATCCTCCTGCATCACCCTCCTGAGGAGCTGGGACTACAGGCAAGTACCACCACATCTGCTCTCAGGAGAGCATTTTAGTGAATGCCATCAATACTGGTGGAACCTGAATCCCAGGGACAAAGAGGATGGGTCAATGCCCAAGGGGGCAAGGTGACAGGCATACTGTTTCCCATTCATGATGGAGATGCTTGTGATGCACACCTCTCTGAAGGGCAGGCTGCCTGTGCACCACTGTCTGAAGAGGAGCACACACATTTTCTCAGCAGTCTCCCTAGCAGATGTGTATCCTATGGATGTCGTACACATCCACGTGCCTGTCTATGTCACAATTCATGGGAACAAATAGAACGGAGACACCCAGTGGGAAATTGGTTAAGACCACTGTATACCACAGAAAGGGCACAGAGTATGTTTGTGTGTTCCTGATAGTTCAGTGTTTTAAAAATTTTTTATAATGGCTTAAAAGAACAAACAACTTTTTCTCTCAGGGTTTCTGTAGGTCAGGAATTCAACCAGTGTACAGCAGGGACAGCTTGTCTCTGTTCTGTGATGACTGGGGCCACAGCTGGAAAGCCCCAAGGTTTGGGAGTTATGAGGGCGTGGGTCTGAGGATGGGCTTTGAAGGTGGTCCACTTAAATGGCTGATAAGTTGATACCGGCTGTTAGTAGGCTAATCTGCACATAAGTGCATCTGCAACGACATACAAAAAATTGCTAAAAGTTTCCCAATGGGGACTACAGCTAGAGGAAGACTTTCTTTTTAGTGGGCCAGTTTTTGCCTTTCTGATTTTGTTAGTACACATTTGCATTGCATAATGGTTACATTCATCGTAAGGAGTTCCTACGTGTATAGGTCACATCTTAATGTTTGCTTTTGTAATGTTGATGTGTTACTTTTATAATAGAGAAATGTGTTCATAGGTTGGACTCAAGCAAGCCAATGTCTAGCAATCTCAAAACTGGTTGGTTTGGTCATCACAGTGTTCAGAATTTGAATTTGCTGTCAACTATTTCAAAATTCAGAGAGTTCACATGAAACTACAAAATTTCTTTTGGAAATCCACAGCCCATGTCGCTGGGGTTGAGTGACATATATTTCTGGGAAGTACATATAAACACTGGAAGGTGTTTAAGATCCCACAAAAGCTGAAGGGTGTAGCAGAGCCCGGACAAAGGGGAGGGTCTGTGCTGCTTTTGAACGTGGTGACAGGAAAGCAAGAAGTGCAGGTCCAGGTCACCACCTGTGGCACTGACCCAGAGTCTCAAGTCTGCCCCATGCAGGTTGTGTGACTCAAGGCATCTTTGGTTAGGATATTCAATAGTTATTGTCATAGCAAAATATTTTTATATCTTGATAAACAGCAATGGTCCTTCCTTGGGAGGTCTGCAAGCCTCCTCACAATCCATGTCAGGACCGCTCACCCCCTAGAGGCTGACTAGCATGTGCTTAACCCAGGGGAGCTGAAGCCAAAACCAAGATGCCTGGGAGTTAATACATGCCAACCAGGGCTGCACCCCAGTCACGACCCTGTTTTGCCCAGCCTGCTGCTACCTGCAGGTGGCTCCTTAAAAGCCATTGCAGCCAGAAGAGATGGACTGGTACGAAGAAACGCTGCAAAAGGGTCTGCTGGAAGCTGCGGCATCTGCAGCAGGGTAATTTAATACAGTTAACTACCCTGCGATCACCCACAGCCTGCTCTGGGCCTAGGCTCTCCATCCTTAAGTGGGTGCCTGCTCCCCTGGGCGTCTTCTCTTTTCTACAGTTCTAGCCGATCGTCTCTGAGCAGTCCGCTTTCTTCCTGTAGGCCCAGCGCAATCTGTCTCCCACAAGACGCTCGGGTCTGCGGGGCGGGCAGTCCGCAGTGTCTCCATAGAGCCTCCCCAACTTCCTCTACGTCAGGCCCCGAGGAGCGGGCCTCGGCTGAGCGACGCTGTGAACACATCCAGCGGTCATCTTTATGCGTGCGCGTCCACGTTCCTTCTGCGCGGCTCAGGGCGGGCAGCCGGCACCGGGAGGTTCTAGGACCTGGAGCCATTTGGCGAGTTTACAGAAAGAACGTAACACAGACAAACTTACCAGCTCCCGGAACTCGCCGCGCCAGCCCACCCTCAGGATCTTTTCTCGCCCACCTGGGGCGGCCCCGGAAGCACAGCACGCCACTCCCAGAACACCCCGCTCTACCTATCCCAGAAAGCCGCGAGGCGGGGGCGAAGCGAAGCGCTCCCGGCAGGCCCCGCGCAGCTCGCTGCTGGAC